GAAGAGGTTACTAGCCCCTTGCTCCCGGCATTTTAGTCGCCTCTTACAACACGCATGGCTTACGGAGGAAGAATTCTGTTCCACTTCCCCATGGAGGTAAGAGGAAATAAACAAGAACAAGAACTAGAAAGAAAATAGAAGAAAACCCAAAGGGGTGTGTGTATATATATGCTTGTACATGTATGTGTAGTGTGACCTAAGTGTAAGTAGAAGTAGCAAGACATACCTGAAATCTTGCATGTGTATGAGACAGAAAAAAAAAAGACACCAGCAATCCTACCATCGTGTAAAACAGTTACAGGCTTCAGTTTTACATTCACTTGGCAGGACGGTAGTACCTCCCTGGGCGGTTGCTGTCTACCAACCTACTACCTATAATATATATATATTATATATATATATATATATATATATATATATATATATATATATATATATATATATATATATATATTATATATATATTCTTTCTTTCAACACACCGGCCGTATCCCACCGAGGCGGGGTGGCCCAAAAGGAAAAACGAAAGTTTCTCCTTTTACATTTAGTAATATATACAGGAGAAGAGGTTACTATCCCCTTGCTCCCGGCATTTTAGTTGCCTCCTACAACACGCATGGCTTACGGAGGAAGAATTCTGTTCCACTTCCCCATGGTGGAAGACGACCGACTTGTTGAAAAAAACAAAACAAAAAAAAATATATATACAGTGGACCCCCGGTTAACGATTTTAATCCGTGCAAGAGGGGTAATTGTTATGCGAAATAATCGTTATGTGAATGAATTTTCCCCATAAGAAATAATGGAAATAAAATTAATCCGTGCAAGACACCCAAAAGTATGAAAAAAAAAATTTTTACCACATGAAATGTTAATTTTAATACACACAAACTGAAAAAGGCATGCACACTTACATGACACTTACTTTTATTGAAGATCTGGTGATGATTGATGGGATGGGAGGAGGGGAGAGCATTATCTTCTTACTGTTTAGAAGGGGAATCCCCTTCCATTAGGACTTGAGGTAGCAAGTCCTTTTCCGGGGTTACTTCCCTTCTTCTTTTAATGCCACTAGGACCAGCTTGAGAGTCACTGGACCTCTGTCGCACAACAAATCTGTCCATAGAGCTCTGTACCTCCCGTTCCTTTACGATTTGTCTAAAATGGGCCACAACATTGTCATTGAAATAGTCACCAGCACGGCTTGCAACAGCTGTGTCAGGGTGATTTTCATCCATAAAGGTTTGCAGTTCAACCCACTGTGCACACATTTCCTTAATCTTTGAAGTAGGCACAATGGATTCCACAACTGGCATAGGCTTCTCAGGGTTAGCCCCAAACCCTTCAAAATCTTTCTTAATTTCCATACTAATTCTCACCCTTTTTACCACAGGGTTGGCACTAGAAGCTTTCTTGGGGCCCATGGTCACTTATTTTCCAGAAACACCTCCGAAAACACTGTAATAATACGAAATATTCCGAGTGTATGCTTGGATGTTAGCGCGGAGGCTGCCTGGTAAACAATGGCACGGGCGGCACATGTGAGGCTGGGTGAGGGCGCACATTGGACGCGTCTCGGACGAAAATCGGTGAGCGGGTTTTTAATCGGTATGCGCGGCAAAAATTTTGCGATTAAAGTAAGCAGTATGCGAAATAATCGCTATGTGATGCCATCGTTATGCGGGGGTCCACTGTATATATACGAGCGGTTTTTACAAAGCAGAAGTGTTATAAGAAGAGCAGAGTATATGGAGAGTAAAAGAAAGGTGAAGAGAGTGGTGAGAGAGTGCAAAAGGAGAGCAGATGAAAGAGTGGGAGAGGCACTGTCAAGAAATTTTAATGAAAATAAGAAAAATTTTTGGAGTGAGTTAAACAAGTTAAGAAAGCCTAGGGAAAGTATGGATTTGTCCATTAAAAATAGAGTAGGGGAGTTAGTAGATGGGGAGAGGGAGGTATTAGGTAGATGGCGAGAATATTTTGAGGAACTTTTAAATGTTGAGGAAGAAAGGGAGGCGGTAATTTCATGCACTGGCCAGGGAGGTATACCATCTTTTAGGAGTGAAGAAGAGCAGAATGTAAGTGTGGTGGAGGTACGTGAGGCATTACGTAGAATGAAAGGGGGTAAAGCAGCTGGAACTGATGGGATCATGACAGAAATGTTAAAAGCAGGGGGGATATAGTGTTGGAGTGGTTGGTACTTTTGTTTAATAAATGTATGAAAGAGGGGAAGGTACCTAGGGATTGGCAGAGAGCATGTATAGTCCCTTTATATAAAGGGAAAGGGGACAAAAGAGATTGTAAAAATTATAGAGGAATAAGTTTACTGAGTATACCAGGAAAAGTATACGGTAGAGTTATAATTGAAAGAATTAGAGGTAAGACAGAATGTAGAATTGCGGATGAGCAAGGAGGCTTCAGAGTGGGTAGGGGATGTGTAGATCAAGTGTTTACATTGAAGCATATATGTGAACAGTATTTGGATAAAGGTAGGGAAGTTTTTATTGCATTTATGGATTTAGAAAGGCATATGATAGAGTGGATAGAGGAGCAATGTGGCAGATGTTGCAAGTTTATGGAATAGGTGGTAAGTTACTAAATGCTGTAAAGAGCTTTTATGAGGATAGTGAGGCTCAGGTTAGGGTGTGTAGAAGAGAGGGAGAATACTTCCCGGTAAAAGTAGGTCTTAGACAGGGATGTGTAATGTCACCATGGTTGTTTAATATATTTATAGATGGGGTTGTAAAAGAAGTAAATGCTAGGGTGTTCGGGAGAGGGGTGGGATTAAATTATGGGGAATCAAATTCAAAATGGGAATTGACACAGTTACTTTTTGCAGATGATACTGTGCTTATGGGAGATTCTAAAGAAAAATTGCAAAGGTTAGTGGATGAGTTTGAGAATGTGTGTAAAGGTAGAAAGTTGAAAGTGAACATAGAAAAGAGTAAGGTGATGAGGGTATCAAATGATTTAAAGAAAAATTGGATATCAAATTGGGGAGGAGGAGTATGGAAGAAGTGAATGTTTTCAGATACTACTTGGGAGTTGACGTGTCGGCGGATGGATTTATGAAGGATGAGGTTAATCATAGAATTGATGATTGAAAAAAGGTGAGTGGTGCGTTGAGGTATATGTGGAGTCAAAAAACGTTATCTATGGAGGCAAAGAAGGGAATGTATGAAAGTATAGTAGTACCAACACTCTTATATGGATGTGAAGCTTGGGTGGTAAATGCAGCAGCGAGGAGACGGTTGGAGGCAGTGGAGATGTCCTGTCTAAGGGCAATGTGTGGTGTAAATATTATGCAGAAAATTCGGAGTGTGGAAATTAGGAGAAGGTGTGGAGTTAATAAAAGCATTAGTCAGAGAGCAGAAGAGGGGTTGTTGAGGTGGTTTGGTCATTTAGAGAGAATGGATCAAAGTAGAATGACATGGAAAGCATATAAGTCTATAGGGGAAGGAAAGAGGGGTAGGGGTCGTCCTCGAAAGGGTTGGAAAGAGGGGGTAAAGGAGGTTTTGTGGGCGAGGGGCTTGGACTTCCAGCAAGCGTGCATGAGCGTGTTAGATAGGAGTGAATGGAGACGAATGATACTTGGAACCTGACGATCTGTTGGAGTGTGAGCAGGGTAATATTTAGTGAAGGGATTCAGGGAAACCGGTTATTTTCATATAGTCGGACTTGAGTCCTGGAAATGGGAAGTACAATGCCTGCACTTTAAAGGAGGGGTTTGGGATATTGGCAGTTTGGAGGGATATGTTGTGTATCTTTATATGTATATGCTTCTAAACTGTTGTATTCTGAGCACCTCTGCAAAAGCAGTGATAATGTGTGCGTGTGGTGAAAGTGTTGAATGATGATGAAAGTATTTCTTTTTGGGGATTTTCTTTCTTTTTTGGGTCACCCTGCCTCAGTGGGAGACGATCGACTTGTTGAAAAAAAAAAAAAATATATATATATATATATATAGTATACAATTTTTTATTTTTTAACAAGTCGGCCGTCTCCCACCGAGGCAGGGTGACCCAACAAGAAAGAAAATCCCCAAAAAAGAAAATACTTTCATCATCATTCAACACTTTCACCTCACTCACACATAATCACTGTTTTTGCAGAGGTGCCCAGAATACAACAGTTTAGAAGCATATACGTATAAAGAGACACAACATATCCCTCCAAACCACCAATATCCTGAACCCCTACTTTAGAGTGCAGGCATTGTACTTCCCATTTCCAGTTCTCAAGTCCAGCTATATAAAAATAACCGGTTTCCCTGAATCCCTTCACTAAATATTACCCTGCTCACACTCCAACAGCTTGTCAGGTCCCAAATACCATTCGTCTCCATTCACTCCTATCGAACATGCTCACGCACGCCTGCTGGAAGTCCAAGCTCCTCACCCACAAAACCTCCCTTACCCCTTCCTTCCAGCCACCACACAGGCCTATTCTCTCTCTCCTGTCTAGGTCAAAATTTGCCACTTGCAGCATATTTGAGGGCACTGTGCCTAAAACATAGGTCTACGTGGGAGATAGTGAAAGGGTTAAAGTACAGTTCTTCCTTATATACAACTTCATCTTGTATATTAGTGGTATTCAATACCAGTGGGTATCTTTACAAGTAAAGATGATAAATTTGGCACATGTGCAACACTTGGGTATCTCTATTGTGGAAATGTTTTGTTACACAGTGGCTTCATCAGTCCAGTACAAAGAAGAATGGTGAAGATCAGAATGAGTTTGAGGTAATCAGTCTCTCAGACTGGAGTTGATGTAATTAGTCCATCAGTCTTTGCAGGACTGATGAAGGCGTTGTGCGGTGAAACGTTTCCACAATAAAGATACCCAAGTGTTGCGCATGTGTCTAATTTATCAACTTGTTGGTTCTCTGAACCTTTTATCTACAAGTAAAGATTCCCAGATGCTGCACATGTGTCTTAATTCATTAACTTCCTCTTCTTGTAAAATTACACTCCTGTTTATTAATTTTGCTTCCACATTTGTAGGAAACTTCCAAACACCCGTCTCAGAAATGACAAAGATGTCCAGCGTTTGTGTGACTACACAGAATTGGAACTTGTAATTAAAGGTCAAAATAGGCTACCTGTATCTAGAAGTGACACACATTCAACTTCCAAAAATAATTATAAGTCAATTCATGGATTTAAAAACCAAACTATTTTGTATTAGGTAAGTTAATAATGTGTACATCTTTTATATTTGCAACCTTTATGAAACAAGACCTGAAAGAAAAACTTCAGCATATTTCAATGCTAATAAAGGGGGCCACCTTTAAGGTATTTTAGCAGATAAGGGATATTTTTTGGTAAAAGTAATACGTATTGATTACTTTGTGTGTAGAGTAATATATATAGATTCTCTTGGCTGTTAATGTCACTGTATTGATTATTTTTCTGTTTAGGTAGCATGCTCCTGATGTAGCATACCTAGGAATGTACAAATTCTTAATAGTTAAGAATAAAGGTATGTGGTAAGCTTGATGATTGTACTTCAAATAATTAAAGAATTTTGGAGAGAGCATTTGTATTAATGTGAATAAATCAGGTCATTTACTATCAGTATTCAAGAAAGATGATAGTTGGTAATGTGGTACAGTGTAACTCAGTTAGTATATGCATTTATGATTTTAATTCTCAGGAAGAATTCTCAAGTTTTCAGTTTTTCCTCAGTTAGTCTAACCCTTTCACTGCCTGACTCCTGAAATTAGAGGTGCTGACAGTGTTGCTATTTTTTCAAAACAAAATTTTTTTTTTCTCATAAAATGAGCCTATGTTTGTCAGTGTAATGAAGGAAAAAAAAATTCCCAGCAGTACTTGCCGAGATATGAAGGCATGAAATTGAAGGTCGTTGCCTCTCCAGTAACAGCATCAGCGCTTGCTGCACACCCTATTAATTTATTTACTTTTTAGTTTTTGCACTTTTCTTCTAATTTTCTACATTTTGCAATAACTGCTGTGGCCAGTGACACCCCATATCATGCATAATGTCCACATGGCTAGCCTTTGTATGCAACACAATGCTTGCTGACACACACACACACACATCCAGTTGCTTCATAGCCCTTTTGTTCTAATGTGTACACATATATACAGGCACTGATTATGTTCCTAGAACTGTTGCAGTCTGTGGGAGTCCCTGAAACACAGCTCCATACACAGTAGTGTTTTACTCCCTTAACATAAAATGTGTTTATCTGCACTTTACTGTCACCTTGATGCCTGTGCATGAGACAACATCTCTTCTAAACCCATTTCTTCTTGTCTATATCAGGAAGGGTAGTAAGAAAGTAGTCACCATACTTCTTCTTGGTGCAGGTGTTATGACCAGGGATTTCTGTATTATATGTCAAACAAAAGTGGGCACATGGCAGTCTGTTGCCAATCTTCAACTGGCAACAGACATTCAGTATTACAGTGCCAACAAGATGGAAGAAAATTTTATGTACCATTAGTAACTCTTCCAGACAGTCAAAAGACCCAATCTGCATTTCACACTTATCCACCAAACTCATACTGTTTGTGTAATCCATAATAGCAGCTGGTCTCACATTGGGTTCATTGGTTTCTATTTACCTTTCCTGTGTCTTTCATTTCATGTTGGTGGATGAATTTCAACAATGTCACATCACATTTGTCATGCCACCAAAATGCCATGATGTCATTGGCATGAAACACCTGTACTTCATCATTATAAAAGCTTGTGCTGAATTTGGGCATATGTTTTCCTGTTCTGCTCACTGTACCCTAGACAACAGTCACGTTCACCAGCAGAAAATCACTGAGTATGAGGCCTGTGTACTAGTTATTAGTGTTTAAAGTATGGCCCTTACCAAGATATGTTCTATCATTTTTCTCACTACATCACTGGAGATACCCAATAATTTCTTGGTATCTTTCAATGTTCTGCTTCATGTGTGTACAATGAAATCCAGTATCAGACTACTTTCACCACGACCCAAAATGAACTGTTTGATACCAGAGTATTTCCTCCTGAACTGTACTGTTTGCACTAGTCATCTTTTCAACAGGATCAAAGATACATTGATGACAGTGTTCCAGAAGGGATAAAAATACACATTAAACTTTTGTTTCAGATGCATAGAAACACCCCTAACCTTGTATAACATGTCACTTCTGTCGGGCCTTGTCTTGTCTGAGAAGTGTAGCAGGATAAATCTGTTGATGGGTACAAGATCATTGAACTCTGGCATACATATACAGCAGTCAGTCAGTCAGTATGTTGCAATATTGTTCTTATGCACATGTGGCATAAGCATGATTGTGGCAAAAAAGAGATATATATCGGCCACTTGTGAAGCCATGATCATGATGAAATCATGTTTGCCATTGTATACTCAAAGTATCGGCTTGTTTCCATCACTATTATTTTCATCAGGGGCTCATTAAAATAGCTGAAAGAATTCAGGTTGAATGGCATCATTCCTGAGGGTACAGTTCAGCTGGATTCCACTGTGTGTCATCAGACTGATGGGAATTGGGGAGAAAATATACATCCTCCTGCCAATTCCAGATTTGGTCTGGTGGTGCCTGCTGGATATTTGCAGCTGGTTGTGGTGGTAGTACTAATGTTGGTTGTGTGTGAGTGGTGGACTCAGCCTAAGGTTGTTGGGGTGTGAGGCATGGCTCCCTCCTGAGGTTGGCACTGGTGCCGGCATTGCCCGCAGCCCACTAACCATGGCAGTGGAAGTACCATTATCTTCACTATTACTATCTGTTGCTGGTGTTGGGTTTTGTGATGTACTACATTCCTTAGAGGTAGCACCACATGCATCACCATAAAAGTTCATGCTTCACAGGCAGATGATTATAATTGCTTCCACTAGATTAATCATTGACTGCTAGGAAATCAAAGTCCACATCCCTGTCACCAGTACTACTCACATCTGTGCCCAAACCATTGAAGAGTGAGCTTTTGCTTATGGATGGATAAATTGTGGATGGACTGAGCCCAGAGGCAGATGGCTGTGTGTCATTGGGGCTCTCAGCACTATTTCCACATTTTGATCATCACTTTTGGTCACTAAACATTCGAACCTGCAGAATTTATTCACAGAACCAGTATCCTCATTGTTGGATTGAATTCTTCTGGGAGCGAGAGCCTTGCATTGGCATGGCATGGTGGGCAATGAAATACTAAGATGATGTTCCCATTATGTACTGCAGTGGCTGCAATTTTTTGTATACAATCAGCTCTCTTTTATAAAGCTCCTCTGTATAGTGTGATTTTTGTAAACATGATTGAAAAAGTACATCCAAAATTGAGTAGAACATATTATGAAGGTATTTCTATGCTCTGTTCAGCTCTAGATGTACTGTACTTTTTTATTGTATTTATAAAAAAAAATAAAGTACTGTACTCTCGTGCCAAGTTTGAGGCCATTAGAATTTATCCATAGATCTATGTAAGTGACACTAGTTTCAGTAACATAGGTCTGTGTGGGAGACAGTGAAAGGGTTAATTTCTAATTTTCTTTTATTTAGAATGGCTCTAAAGTCTGACCATCATCAGTACCAGAGCTGTGTGGACCTATCCATCAGTCTGCCTGGCTACAAAGGAATCAGACCCTTATTAAAGCCTGCAGCAGTAAGTTAATGTGCCAGGCAGATGTGTGGGTGGAGACAAGCACCTGGTGGTACATTTGCCCTTTTTGCCTATTGTTCTTGTTAGTATTTTGCATATTTATAAATGATCATTGTATGCGCCATGTATTGACTGTATGGGTAATATGTATAAAAAAACCTACGTTCGATAGCACAGAAAAAACGCAAATGTTTTCAGTCTGCTTGAGTCCCTCATCAGGTGCTTTTAAATGAGCTGGAAGGAAGCTCATATATATATATATATATATATATATTATTATATATATAGGTAGTAGGTTGGTAGACAGCAACCGCCCAGGGAGGTACTACCGTCCTGCCAAGTGAGTGTAAAACGAAAGCCTGTAATTGTTTTACATGATGGTAGGATTGCTGGTGTCCTTTTTTCTGTCTCATGAACATGCAAGATTTCAGGTACGTCTTGCTACTTCTACTTACACTTAGGTCACACTACACATACATGTACAAGCACATATATACACACCCCTCTGGGTTTTCTTCTATTTTCTTTCTAGTTCTTATTCTTGTTTATTTCCTCTTATCTCCATGGGGAAGTGGAACAGAATTCTTCCTCCGTAAGCCATGCGTGTTGTAGGAGGCAACTAAAATGCCGGGAGCAAGGGGCTAGTAACCTCTTCTCCTGTATATATTACTAAATGTAAAAGGAGAAACTTTCGTTTTTCCTTTTGGGCCACCCCGCCTCGGTGGGATACGGCGTGTGTTGAAAGAAAGAAAGAAAGATATTATATATATATATATATATATATATATATATATATTTATATATAATATATATATATATATATATATATATATATATATATATATATATATATATAGAAGAGAGGGAGAATACTTCCCAGTAAAAGTAGGTCTTAGACAGGGATGTGTAATGTCACCATGGTTGTTTAATATATTTATAGATGGGGTTGTAAAGAAGTAAATGCTAGGGTGTTCGGGAGAGGGGTGGGATTAAATTATGGGGAATCAAATTCAAAATGGGAATTGACACAGTTACTTTTTGCTGATGATACTGTGCTTATGGGAGATTCTAAAGAAAAATTACAAAGGTTAGTGGATGAGTTTGAGAATGTGTGTAAAGGTAGAAAGTTGAAAGTGAACATAGAAAAGAGTAAGGTGATGAGGGTATCAAATGATTTAGATAAAGAAAAATTGGATATCAAATTGGGGAGGAGGAGTATGGAAGAAGTGAATGTTTTCAGATACTTGGGAGTTGACGTGTCGGCGGATGGATTTATGAAGGATGAGGTTAATCATAGAATAGATGAGGGAAAAAAGGTGAGTGGTGCGTTGAGGTATATGTGGAGTCAAAAAACGTTTTTCTATGGAGGCAAAGAAGGGAATGTATGAAAGTATAGTAGTACCAACACTCTTATATGGATGTGAAGCTTGGGTGGTAAATGCAGCAGCGAGGAGACGGTTGGAGCAGTGGAGATGTCCTGTCTAAGGGCAGTGTGTGGTGTAAATATTATGCAGAAAATTCGGAGTGTGGAAATTAGGAGAAGGTGTGGAGTTAATAAAAGCATTAGTCAGAGGGCAGAAGAGGGGTTGTTGAGGTGGTTTGGTCATTTAGAGAGAATGGATCAAAGTAGAATGACATGGAAAGCATATAAATCTATAGGGGAAGGAAAGAGGGGTAGGGGTCGTCCTCGAAAGGGTTGGAAAGAGGGGTAAAGGAGGTTTTGTGGGTGAGGGGCTTGGACTTCCAGCAAGCGTGCATGAGCGTGTTAGATAGGAGTGAATGGAGACGAATGATACTTGGGACCTGACGATCTGTTGGAGTGTGAGCAGGGTAATATTTAGTGAAGGGATTCAGGGAAACCGGTTATTTTCATATAGTCGGACTTGAGTCCTGGAAATGGGAAGTACAATGCCTGCACTTTAAAGGAGGGGTTTGGGATATTGGCAGTTTGGAGGGATGTGTTGTGTATCTCTATACGTATATGCTTCTAAACTGTTGTATTCTGAGCACCTCTGCAAAAGCAGTGATAATGTGTGAGTGTGGTGAAAGTGTTGAATGATGATGAAAGTATTTTCTTTTTGGGGATTTCTTTCTTTTTTTTTGGGTCACCCTGCCTCGGTGGGAGACGGCCGACTTGTTGAAAAAAAAAAAAAAAAAAAAATATATATATATATATATATATATATATATATATATATATATATATATATATATATATATATATATATATATATATATATATAATAATATATATATATATATTATGTATGTATGTATGTATGTATGTATGTATGTATGTATGTATGTATGTATGTATGTATGTATATGCAACCAGGTAAGGTACACCATTGAAAGATTCACTACAGAAGGCAAATTGGCCCATTCCAAGGAGGTCCCACTAAAATCAAACCCTACCCTAATATTTGTTCTATTTGTAAAGCTAACCAAGGAATTCCCTATCAGTATGCCCATGTTTTTGCAGCTCAGTTTCTTATAAGTACAGTGAAACCTCTCATTAACTTACTAATAGAGTGGAGGGGGATATACAGTAATGCCTATTATCTGCAGCTCCTTATTACAAAATTAATATTTCGTTATTGTCCACTTGGTCCACTACTGCAGACAACAACTGAACACTAAGAATACAGGTACACATTGTAACCTGTAGTACTTCAGTACAGTACTGTACTATATAGTAATTTTATAGTAATATGCATAATTTCCAGTAATTTTACTTACCATTTTGTGGTGGAGAGGTGAGGTGTAAGTTATTCTGAGTCACCATTACTGCCATGAATAGTAATGGTGACTCAGAATAACTTTGTGTGTCAGAGGAGCTGTAAAACTACTAGTGAAAATAATGTAGATGGCTGAAAAGATGTAGATTACCGAGAAGATGTAGATGGCTGAGAAGATGTATATGACTGAGATGTAGAGGAACGAGATGTAGATGGCTGAGATGTACATGGATGAGATGTAGATTGCTGAGAAGACAAAGATTATTGTGAACCACATGTTTTCTCTTGACAACACAACTTGCTTTAGAAGCCATTGTTAATTGCACTTTATTTAGTATGTTAATAGTCACAAAATACTCTAAATCCAGGGCAAATTAGAGACTGAATGACAGTGTATGCATGAGTGAACACAAACAGTAAACTGGTGCAGGTGGCCAATGGCTCAAGAAACAATGAAAATGGCCAGGTCCTAGACATGGCCACTTTGGCCCATACCGAACAAACATCATAGTTAATGGACTTGGCCCAATACTTCAGAAGACAACCAGATACAATTGCTATGAACAAAATGCAAAATTACTGACTTGTATCAATTTTGTCTGGTAATTAGAGCGCTTGTCCGAAATTGTTGAAAGCTGTTAATGAGAGGTTTTATTGTATTTCTATGTTGATGATAACCCAATGATTACAGTTTTAATGAGCAAAATATATAATGGATGGATAGTCTAGCATAATATTTACGAAGGTCTTAGACTTACTTTATTTTGGTCATTTGCTTTCTTTAACATTTTGTCAAATTTCCAAAAGAGGTTTGACCTCGTTAATAATATTGAAATTAGGAACCTTGCTAATTTCGCAGATTAGTTAGTCTCCAAAAACCACCCTGCATCCTATAAACTGAAGGTCAGTGATGGGAGCTATATGTTTGGGGTGTGGGGGGGGCTATAGCTCTCGCAGTTACATCTAATGCCAAGCCACTGAAACTAAAACAAGTCTTATAAGCCACGTCTTCTAAGCCACGAAATACAGTAATTAGCAAGCTTCATAATTTCAGTATTGTTAATGAGAAGGTCGAACCTCTTCTAGAAATGCTTTCACTTAAATTGGACATACTATCAAAGAAAGCAATTACCCAGCCTAGTGATTCCATGGCCTCTGTAAATGTAATGCAAGACTACCCAGCCATTATACATTTTACTTGTTTAAACCATAATCATTGGGATGTGTTAAATGTAGAAATATTTGTCTGACAACAGAGTTGCAAATATGTAAGCATGCTGACAGTTCCTTGGGTAACTTTATAGGTAGGTTGAACACATATTTGGGTAGGCTTTGATTTTAGTTTGACCTGCTTGGCATGAGCCAGTATGCCTTCTACAGTGTATGTTTCAGTGGTACACCTGACTAAGTAAGTTTATTCAGGTATACACAAAAACAGTTACATAGATTATTATACATAGCAGCATATGTGTAGACAACCTAGGATAACCCAAAAAAGTCAGACAAAGTGACTTATTTCCATTGGGGTCTTGGTTGTATTTTTATTGGCTTCCTTCCAACTCATTTAACAGCACCTGATGAAGGTCTCCAGCAGACTGAAAATATTTGCGTATTTTTCTGTACCAATGAATGTGGGTTATTTGTATATATCAATGATTACAAATAATAGGATTATTTCTGTTTAGAAGTGTTATTTTACACCTTGTTTACCTGGCACTTGGTAAGGCATATAATTAGTGAGAGGGAATTAATGTAAGTTTTAAACTATGGTAAATAAATTTTATTGATTCAGGTGCTGAGTGTTCAAGTTAAAATCTTGCAAATTTTTTTCAAAGAATTTTAATTTTTGATGTTATTTTATTCTACTTTGAATCATAATATTGTGTTGGTGTTTGTTAAGGTACAAAGTAATGTGTGAATAGAGAGAGAAAATGAGTGCTAAGCCAAAAGGTGATGTTTTAAGCACCAAATGACTGATTGACTACAAAAATCAAATTTGCAGATGAACCAATGATGTGACAGTCATTGATATAATCAGCAACCACTCACACATTCGTTATGTACTTATGCATTGCCCGTGCTTGCTACAGCACTGTATAACTGTATTGAATGTGGAAGAGGACAACAGCTACAGTCATTAGTAAGTTGTATCTTCTTTCCTTAGCATTGTTGTTCTCAGTTTTTTTTTAATCCATTGCACCTCATGCCTTATTCTTTTGGAGTGACAGTATTTCCTTGTATGTATTACAATTAAAAATAACTTGATCTCAAGTATTGTTATTATTTGGAGTCAAATGAGAGGTATAAAATAATCTTTGAATCAGGATCTCAGTTGAAAGTAATGTATATGTACATATGTGCTAAAGTATCACTGAAAAGCAATAGAATAAGTAGAGAAGGAAAACATTAGAGAAAAGACATACATATAGAGGTTGAGATATCTAGGAGAATTATGGGTTTCCATTTGTGGAAATTAAACTGGATTTGAGTTATAAACAATAGTGATTACTTATGAAAAGAATGAGTTGCTTGTATAATGCATTTAACTTATATTTTACTTGCCAAAAGATTTCTTATGAAAATTCCAAAGAATGGGATTGTTAATAATGACTATTGGACGAGTGGAAATGCTAAATGTTTAGTGGGGATTTTTTTAAAATTGATTATCATTTAATTGTACTTAAAAAAGATTCTTAAAACAAAATTTGTGCTTTAGGTTTACTGTATAAGTGTTTCCATTTTTTCTGCCATATAGCTTTAGTAAATTATTTAAATAAATGTTAATGTTATAAGAGTTACATTAACATGTGGTGATCAGAAGTTATATACTTTGCTTCTGATAATTCTTTATATCTTTGTATATTAATTAAGCTCATCATTGAACAGACTTAGAAGTAATTATTATTTTAATTTACTGTTGTTATTTTTTCTGGTGGTTAAATTCCCAAGCTGGTACAGTGACACAAGTGACATAACATGTTACAGTAATACA